ACTTGGCTGGTCTCTTACGAACACTCTGAGGATAAAATATTTCATTATTTTAATGAAAGGAGTTTAAAAAGTATAATGTAAGCTTCTTTAGAATCTCATTCAACTCTAATTTGGCATATGTAATATTTTGAACGTTTTATTTTTCATAACAAAGAATAAAAAAATGTGTTACTGCTTGGGCTGTAGAGGGCAGGGACTCTTCCTCATCACTGCACCCCTTGTGGTTAGCACGGTGCCTGGAACGTTCCCTGTGACTCTGTGCATTCGCTTGTGCGTGTGTTTCTATTTGCACATATTAAAACACTCTCTATTTACATCTTAATCTGTAAAATATGTAGCTTTTTAAAAGTCCGTGAGGGAAGACCGCAAACAGCAAGAGGGTGCTGGCGAGAGGCTAGAGGGGCTTCACTGCCGGCTCGTCCAAAATCCAATGTAAACGGAAGCCGAAGAAATGGGGGCACATGCCAAGGAGATGCCATCACTGAAAAACCTTCCTATCTCTGCTTCTGGGCTCCTCTAATCACGTAGCAGAGCAAGTACCAATTTCAGCAGATCTGATACAGAGTCCACAGATGAAATAGGCTAGTTTTCCCATCTGGTGGATGTGAAGAGTGCTGGGGCTGAGATCTGCATCTCTAGTTGCACCCACGGTGCCCACGCCAAAGGTGGAGTAAGGAGATAGTGGTCTGTGGTTATTGCCTGGGACAATGGTCCAGAACGTGGACTTTGGGGTCAGACATAACCCAGGCTCCAGACCTTAGTTTGTCAAATAATTGAATGGCCTCTGGCAAGTGGTTTAACTTCTCCAAGTCTGCTTTTTCATCTGTAAAGTTCACATACTTCCTCCTAAGCTCATCAAAAGGATTAGAAAGAACACCTGTGGAGTCCTTTTGCAAGAGCCTGACCCAAGGTGGGTCCTCAGACACTCTGACTATTAGCACCACTGCTTTGTCTGTGATTTGGGAAAGGGAAGGCTACCCAAGGCCTACAAGAGGGAAGAGTGCTCCAGGCCAGCCAGCTGTGGACTCAGTTCCTGATGTTGACTAGTTGTGACTCAGGGCAGGGACGGATCTTCTCACCTTTGCTCTTGGCAGGTAGCACATGATTAGCAGGAAGGTGCTGCTCGACAAATATTTAGTGAAAAGAGCTGCATGACCTTGAGCAAGCTACTTAAGCAGGGTTTCATTTTCTCATCTACCCCCAGAGTGAGGCTTCCAGAGTGACGATGAGTAGTCAGTAGTGAATGAGATTTCGTTTGAGGAGCACCTATAACGGTGCCTGTTTCCTCTTCCTAACAGATAGGCAGGAAGCACCAATACAGAACCACAGTTTGTTGTACCTGAACACTAAGAACTCAACTTATTCCAGCTCACAAGAAACTGCCCAGGTAATTTCTTCTGGCAGGTGTTTCCAAATGGAGAGAGTGCCTCTCTTTGTTGCCTGCAGTGGCTGAGAAGATAGACACTCTCTTCCAGGTTACCTTGCCATGCCACTGATGGGGTTTTGGAATTTGTTTGGGGTCTCCTACTATATTCACCTGAATTGCAGAGATTTAACTTTACTGGCGTTGAAGAGGGAAGGTGACAGCATAATGTGCACTACATTAAAACCATGGATTTTTGCCACGTGCTTGCTTCCAAACAAGACCTCACCCTCACCCCACTCCAGGGATTTACTTCCTTCTCTGCTCCTCAAACAGATGAACACTCTTTATTAGATTTTCTGAACTGAAATGGAGCAGCCACTCTTATCACTGATTTCACTAGGTGCTGAGGAGGACAGAGCAAAATCCCAGGAAGGCACCAGCTCTTCCTGAGGTTAAGCTTAGATGCAATGAGCTTCGGGTTGCCTGAGAACTGTCTAAACTGTGTGTTTAACCCCAGTCGTCGGGCTGCTCTGTTTCTGCTCCTTCACAGGGCTTTCTTCTGCCCGTTTTGCTGTTCTCTCTGCTGCTGCTCCTCAATGCTTGCTTTGCAGTTCTGTCATTTTGCAAAATCCTTCTACTCCTGGGAAAGGATTAGCAAAATTACATAGTGTTGCTGCTATTTAACATTTGGGAAAAGCAGCGTATATATGCAAGTTATCAATCATTCTTACCAGATGGTAAATGTATGTCTTTTCACCAGAAATTGAGCAGCCAACATTCAAATTCATCACCAATACAACATTTACATTCACATCCGTTTCCAATTTGACATCCTCAATGAGTTAGTATCATGAAAATCAATATTATATCCCTGTATTGTTGACTATTTGTAACGGTTACAATGCAGATTTGGGATTTAAAAATTGTCATTAAACAAAATCTCACCACAACTTGCAATTTTTATGTACTCTGTATCTATACATTTTTCTCTAATGCCTCTTAGGGTTTTACATTCAGAATGGGCTAGTGAAAATGGCACATGGGTAAAAAGAATAAAAAGCTAGCAGCTTATGTTGGTATATGTATTTTTTTAAACTGTTTCAATTTAGTGGTTACCTTTTGTTCATTTATAAAACACTTTAAGATCAGATTCTCCATTTATCAGAATTATATGAGGCAACTGAAGCCCACATGGTGAAATAGTAAATTCCTGATGTTTCAACAGCTGAGCCAGGGGGCTCTGTCTCCACAGTTTCAAGTCTAGATTTCTGCCCAACTAACGTTCCCTACAGATTTCTGAGTTTCGGCCTTTCCTGGTTATTATTAAATTAAATGGCAGCCCTGGCCAGTTCGGTTTCTAAGTGCTTAGGGTGAAGAATGGTTGTCATGGGCTGAATCGTGCCCTGACCCCCAACACTCACATGTTGAAGTCCTAAACCCCGGGACTTCAGAATGTGACTGTATTTCGAGAAAGGGCCTTTACAAAGGTAATTATGGTAATAGGAGATAGTATGTGTGGGCTCTAATCCAATGGCTCTTGTCCTTACAGGAAGAGGAGATTAAAGCACAGACAACACAGATGAAGCAACACGCAAATGAGACCCAGGAAGAAGGCACCATCTGTAAGCCAAGGAGAGAGGCTTTAGAAGAGACCAAAGCTACCAACATGTTGATCTTGGACTTCTTAGTCTCCAGAATTGTGAGGAAAATCAATTCCTGTTAAATCACCCAGTCTGTGGTATGTTAGAGCAGCCCTTGCAAGCCAATGCAGTGCGCCAGATTGGAGGAAAATGTAGATAGAATTTACACGATATTTTTTCCTATAATTAAGACTTGTATTATAAATTAGAGCTTATTCATTGCAAGTAACAGAAACCAAATCTAGCCAACTTAAGCAAACATAGGGAATTTACCTGAGGATACAGTGTTATTATTAACCATATCAGACCAATCTGGTTCAACTTTCATGTAACAAAGTTGTGAGTTGTTTTTCAGTTGCCACGGACCCCCAGGTTGCAGGTGATGTAACCTGAGCATGTCCAGATGAACCAAGTGTGCAACCCTAGTTGGAACCTAAGTGCTCGCTCCAAGGAGTGGGGAACTGAATTAAGAAACGGACAACACATGGCAGGATCCAGGATCCAATCAGATTGAGCCCTGGTGTCGTCACCCCATGGCAGGATCCAGTCAGAGCGTGTCTCCGGGCATCACCCTATTCAAAGGTCCAATCAGATCATGCCTCATTACCCTCTGACTATAAAACCTGGCCCTATTCTCAAGCTTGGAATGACAGATTTGAATCTGACTCCTGTCTCCTTGTTTTGGCCACCTGACAACAAACCTTTCTTGTTGCAAAAACGTAGTGCTTCAGTGTTTGGTTTTTCGTTGCCCACTCGAAGGAACCCAGTTCAGTTCAGTGACAGTGCCTCATGGAACCTGAGTGGAACGCAGCTGACCTCAGAAATGCACTGGGTCTAGGGCCTGGAGCATTGTCAAGATTGTTTCTGTGTGTCTACTTCAGTTTTTTTATCCATCCCAATTTTGGGTTCCTGAGAAAAAGACTGATTGCTCAGCTTGAGCAAGGTACTCACCCATATTCTACCAGTCCTGGCCAGAGGAGGCAGGGTCACACGGCACACAGTGGCCATCAAAGCCCTGTGGATAAAGGAAAGGAGCACTCATCGGACAACTGAACAAGTCCTCTGTAGTACCGGGTACTGCCCCCTCTCAAAGGCAATGGGGAGACAAGTATGAGATGTTCAGTGTGCTAAAGCAGAATGGCTAGTGTATTACGTTTGGCTACAAATAGCAAAATCAAAGCAAGAGCAGCCTGAGACCTCATCCAGCCCAAGACTGCTTGCAATCTTATGGCTACTTCCTGACCTTAGGAGGATGGTGGAGAGGAAATACCTGCCAAGAATGTAGCAGCTTGTCAAAATCTCTGCACCGATCAGTTGGAAAAAGTTGATTGGTGACCAACTGGAATTCCATTATACAAATGGTACAGGATGTTCACAATCCAAAAAATAATGTACAATGACACATAACTATGAAGCCAGACTGGTCTCGGGTTTTATAGGTGTTTTATACGAGTTTGGGAGCCTAACTCATTACACTCTGAGAAGAGGGGGAAACATTAAATAATGCTTATTGTTCTGAAGAGGCAAGTATAGAAAATATATGAGGGACAAACTCGCAAATAAATCTAAGCAGAATGGTTACCCAGCCTGAATTAGCGCAGCAAGGGACACCCTCACACCTGGCACGGGCATCCTTGTTTTTGCTCACGTTACTCCCTCCTCTTCCTCTGCTTTGTCCCCACCCCTGGAGCCCCAGCTTAGGCTCTGTCTCTTCCCTAACACATTCCCTAAACTACACAATTTAGCATTCTACTTTTCTGAAATCGTTTTGTACATGTTGTGCCCCCTCGTAGACTAAAGCTCCTGAGGATTAAAGTCCGTGTGTTACACCTTGTTCCCCACTTTGACAGGGCCTGGTACGCCTTTAATGAACACTGTCGTCTGACTGGTTGTCACGGGCTAAACAGGAAATGATGGTCAGCAATTGGCTTGCTGGGCTCAAATAACCTTAGAATAATTGGAGAAGAAAGAGAAATATCCAGACATATTCCTTGTAAGATAAAAACTTTATTGTACAATTTTATAAAGCAGCTTTACATTAAGCACAAACAATGCATTTACTTTGTATAGAAACAAAATACCTTTCCATCTGCAAAAAATCAAGTTTTGCTGTATATAAAACTAACATGTGCACATTGTGCTTAAACTGCAAAGTCTGTACAGCTTTACACAGGACTACCCTTCAGAAGGGCATCCAGTAAACACTTTATTGCATATTTAACACATGGTATATAACCCACATGTACAATGGAAGAGAAACAAGAAAAACAATTACAAGAAGGATGAAAATAGCAGCTTTCAGTGAAAGTTTGCACTGAAAAAGAAAAAGGACCGCCACATCTGGAGAGTTGTGCTTGTGTGTTGTTTTTGCATTTGCTCACGTACACTGGATGGTTCTTGGATGAAGCCTTTATGTACAATAACTCTTAAAGGGTCAAACTTGACCTTCATCCAGAAACTTCTGGCTGGTTTTACAACTGAAGTGGCAACAGAGTCAACATCAAAGCAAACTCAAGGTGGGGGAAAACAAAAACAAGCAAAAAAAACCCCCCAAAACCTAATATCTAAAATAATCTTGAAACAAAGAAAAATTTAAAGAAACAAAACTTAAAATACCCTCCCCATTCTCTCTAAGCTCAGAATAAGTAAACATTTTACATGATTTAAAACCCTAGAAAACCTTCTAGTTGTTTAGAGGCAAAAATGCAATGGATAATCTCGGGCAGTGTTCCTCCATGTATGCCCCCAGCTCACTGCATCAAAATCACCTGAGTGCTTGTTAAAAATGCAGACTGTTATACTTCACAGGCAGATTTACTTAGTATCTGGGATCTGCACTGCAATAAGCTCCCAGGTGGTTCTAAAGTTTGAGAACCACTGGTCTGTTCCGACAATGCTGCTATATGTTCAACTCATCCTCTTAGAAAATTGCGATCAAAAGACAAATCCAGTTGCTGTTGCAATGTGAAAGGCAGTGTAAAACAAACAGCAATGAAATAGCAATGCCATTTCTAGATCGAAAAGTCTTTCCCTCTTCAGTGGAAAAAGAAAGCCACATTGTTAAGGCACTGATATTTGTCACAGAAGCAGTACCATACTGTTTTCATTGATTCTCCTAATCTGAAGACCAGTATGCAAACACAAAGCAGAAGTCTGAACCATTCTCTAAACAGTAACAAATACGAGGAAGTAAAATAGCTTGCCAGATTGGAGAAAGTTTATTTTGAACATTGGCATTGAAAATAAAAATTAAGGGAATTCCAAATATTCTAGATGAGACATCTAAGACATACCAAGGTCAAAAGCTAGGTGAAAACCTAATAACCCACAACTGGCAAAATTAAGAGCTGTGGCCACATAAATTAGGAGTTTAAGCTTACTTTTCTATGGCCAGCTTAATATCGTCCTCCGTGTATATCTGTATCTTCTTTGCCTCTGCTCCTTCATGCGTATATGTATTTTACATGTATGTTATATACACATATATGTATATGTATTTTCCAGTTTCTAAGTAGTGCTTGGTAGGTTGAATTCAATTAAGATATAGTGGGCAGGTAGGTAACCTACCTGGCTCTCAAATCTGCATTTGATATAGGTCACAGATAAACTGCATTGTGTTTGTCAGACTTAGTCCCCTGAAAGTGTGGGGTCTCATATTTTCAAGCTGTGTAAGATATAGTACTGACTTAGTGTACTGTCATACCCTAAAACAAAAGTCAGAGCAAAATAAACACCACTGGGTTTTAACCTAACGCCTGGGTTTTCAACTAATGCCTGGAGCTCCAAGCAGACACTGCCCATGGTATGAGGGCTCCGAAATCTATTTATGTGAGGTATGGTAAGATATATAACCGAAATAAAGATCTAATTACACACATACAGCAAATGCAGTAGCATCTCTTCTGTCTAACAGCTGGAATAATTTGAAATCAAATTTCAAAGGAAAAACAATGACATACAGAATCAATGGTCTGGGAAGCTGATGATTAAGAGTGATCTGGGTAGGGAAAAAAAATCTGCTATGATTCTTGTATGTAATATTTGACCGAGTAATTTTCCTTAAAGGGGGGAAAAAATCCTAAAAGGAAGTGGTGGTGGCCTTAAAATTACTAGCTCCTTTCCAAATTTAGGTTTTTAATAAATTTCCCAAATAATGTCCCAAAAATGTCCCCCTGCAAAATGTACAAAACTCTCAAGTGTAGTCTGAAATAAAATACAAAATTCTAGATAGTGAGAAAAGGAAACTATCGCAATGGAGGTGGGGAAGAGACAGACTGATTATCAAACTTTTACTGATTGTAGATCAAGTTTCAAAACACATAACATTTTTGTAATTTCTTGTGCAGTCAACAAGTTACATTTTAGTTGTGCTTACATTATATAACTGTGAAGCCTGAACACTGGTTGTGTTTTTAATTTACACACTTCGAGAAAACTATAATTCAAAATATTCTCCATATATAACAAATTGAACAAATGCAGCAAATGCTCATTTGCTCCCCAAAAGTTAACCAATAGAAAAGAAACATCTTTGTAAAAAGGTGAACACAGTCCACTATCCAGGCTACAAGTACATATTTACTGTATTACAGCACATCATTTTTTCCAAAGTCTGCTTTCGACATAAATAACCACATTTAAAAAGAGCCCCATACTAAGTTTTCAGATAAGTGCTAGACACTTGGCCAGTAATAACTACTTGCCATTATCTTTTCCAAACCGAGAGTGACTGGGCTATCTGTGGAACTGTACACGGTGATGGGCAAGGCAAAGTTAAACATCTTTGTTCAGCCCATTGACTAGACACGTTCTATTTTAAATGCCACCTACATCTCTAAACACCCAACCCATGGAATGCAATTATTTCAGAAGACTGGTTTTAAGGATCACTTATCACTTTGATATAACCCACAAAAACCTAGTATACAACCTTTTGAAATGTGCCCATGCTCTGCTGACAGAGCCTGTGGTTTCAGTATACAGCAGAGGCTGGAGTATGATTTTGGTTGTGAGCTCTAGTTGTGCTTTGCCCTGCTGCCTTTAAGGTAGCTTTTCCACCTCTTGACAAATTCCTTGAAGATTGGGGACTCATCAATGGTACTGAGTAGCTGCAGCTGGTTGATGTGGGTGGTGTGATAGTCCCAGCGGGCCAGGTTAGGAGCGATGCCGAGCATGAAGTGGCGTAGGTCATAGATGGTTCCTGAGCCGGTGTCGTACAAGGGCAGCATGGCTTTAAGAGATTCCATGCCACGCTCATACAAGGACCTCGCTTCTTTCCCGAGTTTTTCCCCTGCGGTTTCTTTTAAGTCATACAGCCCAATTAAGGAATACATAAAGCCATTTAAAACAAAAGAGCTAGGTGTGGTTGGATATTCTTCATACCAGTCATGTTTATTCATAAACACAGCTTTAACTCCATGCTGCTCAGACAGAAACTTGTAAGGGGCTGTTGCCCTTAAAGCTGAATTGAGGAATATATGGTCTTTTGTTAAGAGATAGGCCCTGACCAATGTAGAAATGGCTTGCCCTTGGGCCATGGCAGAGTACCACCCTGGCTCTAAAGACTTGAACCCTTCCCCTAACTTACGGGTCACCATAATTGGCCAGCCACCTTTCTCATCCTGGTTCCTTACCAGCCAATCACTAGCGGCGAAGAATGCAGCCATGTGGGCTGTGGTTGAGATAGTAATGTTGTCAAGGAATCCCTTCCCTTTTGCAATCAACCTAACCACCTTCTTGGGCATGATTTTGGTTGGCTTGACAGCTTTTGTGTTGGAAAGACCCACTCCTTTCCTGAGGTCAGTGACCAGGTCCCTGGTAACCGTGCTCCAAGAAGTTCTGGGCCCAATACCATAGTATATGTCTCTTTCTTTAAAAGCAATTAGCTGGGCATTTGAGATGTAATGTACAGTGAAGAGCTGATTCTTTTCTGTGGTCTCTAGAACCACAGACACACTCCCATTTGTCAAGAACTTGAGGTCAAATGAAATAATAAAATCTTTTGTGTTTCCCAGTTGTAAGGACACACCTTCACTGGTCTCTGTAGGAGGGAATAGACCAAAAAAGACTGGTTAGAATAAAATTATGTTTGTATGTGAAATTGCAATTCACCTTTGACAACCATTGACCATACAAAATTAACACTTGGATATTCTGTGTATCAGATCATTATTCTTTATTTTTATTTTTTACTAAATTAATCAAAAACAAATAACAGAATTGGTGAGTTCATGATGGCCCATGAGCATCAGGCCAAAGCTCTTACCTTTTGCCCTGTCTGGTTTACATTAGAGGATTAAGAACAAATGGCTCAAACTGCCTTTTCTAGATCTAATGTCAGCTGATCAATAACTATTCTAATATACCCATTCTGCAAAAAATAGCCAAAAGCTGGCTCAGCACATAATATTGCAAGAGAGAGGCTAAAAGAATGGTTATACATGAATTTTAAATTATTTGATTAACATTTAATATACATTTACTATGTTCTAAGTGTTTTATACATTTTAATTCCTTGAATCCTCTGAACAGTTACAAGAGTGGATACTATTACTACTCCCACCTTACAGATGAGGAACTAAGACACCGACAAGTAACTTGCCCGAGGGACAAAGAGTTGAACCCAAATTGCCTAGTTTGACTCCACAATGTACGTTCTTAATTTGATGCTGAGAATGATAGATTTGTTTTCAGATATTTGTAGAATTCTGAATAAAATTTTTAGAAATTAAGCAATGTGCTCATGTATACAACAAAAAGTGAGGGATGGATGGGGGTGGCAAGGGGAAAGCACAGGCTTTGGAGTTAAAAACCTTAGATTTGAATTCTTGTTCTACACTAGTGTTGAGAAGTCTGGCAAGACACACCTCTTTGAGCCTCAGTTTCTTCACATGCTAAACAGAGATAATATTACTTTGCAGGGTAACTGTGAGGATTAAAAAAAAAGATAATGGCCTGGAAGATAGTAATAAATGATAGTTATTGTTATTATTCTGGAACAACCGGCTTCAGAAGCTAATAAAATAGTAAAAGCTGTTTTATCTGACAAATTACTAAAGAGGAAATTTCTCTTGCATTATCTATAGTACAATGATGGCTAGTTCCCAGAAAGATGACTTTCTGAATATTGCTCATCTAGATCTACCAAGAAAAGAAACTGAGCACATTAAAAGCAAACAGCAACAGCAGCAAAAACAGAAATATACAAAGTATAAATTTTTAAATATTAAAGGGAAATATGAAGATCTTGATCTATCTACAGCTTCAATTTCTAAAATACATTCACATGTATTATCACATTTGATCCCTACAATAATCTCCTGAGACTGGCGGGACAGGAATTATTATTTCCATTTTAGAGATGAAGATATGCAGGCTTTGCAAGGTTAGATAGTTTGCCCAAGGCCAAAACAGAGCAGGGACTAGAATCCAGGTTTTCTGGACTCAAGTTCAGACTGTGAAAAAGACCAATGATATTGGAAATGGAATCCTGATGAGAATTATCAATAGATGGGTTATTCTCTGAGACACAGCCACAGAAGCAGATCTCTGTTTTGAGGAATCCTTGAGGAAACCTTTAGTGTGTCACCAGGAGCAAAGACTAGAAACGTGAACTGATGGTAAAGTTCGATCAGCTTGGAAAGTGTCAGCATGTCGAGTTGATCATTTAACTCTCACAACACTGGACTCTACCAGTATGGATATATTTGGCCCAAGCCTCTCAATTACTTCATTTGATGGAACAGACAATTATGGAAGTTGTATCAACAATAAACACATCTTGATAGACTTATGCATCACATAGTGCTTTGAATGACTTTTAAAAAATTGATTTGAGAAGTAAACTTCTAATACAGTACAAATCCACTTTATCTGGCAAAATGTCAACATATACTCTCTCTAGCATTTTTCTGCATCTATAGTGAAATGTAATCTGAAGCTCAGTACAACATTCCTGAAACACTGTAGGATTCTGAATTGACTTATAAATCACTCAAGATTAAATTATATTCAGCACAGCAGACTCTCTTGAGTGCTACTTATTTTTTCCATTACTAGGGTGATGCCTCATTCATCAGACGGTATTATTAACTATGACATCTATTCTGGCCAGACTGGATAATAATGACCCATCTTTAGAAGTCCAAATGGGAAGAAGCTGAAGTACCTAGTTCCTCCCAGAATCCCATTCTAATTTTCACTTTATTTATACAAATTTAATGAAATGACATGGTTCAATGAATCACCTTATGTCTTAATATAACACATCAGTCCAAAGAACTCAGTAATGAACCATGTTATGGAATGTAACCTTTTAAAATGCTACTATTAATTTTCCTAAAACTTAACACCAGCAGGGGGGGTTACTGAGTCACATAGGAGAAGTGACAAAGAAGTAAATTAACCAACAATTACAGTCCTCACAACGATCTTATGCAGTAAGTCTTTTAATTCCCATCTTATAGATGTACAAAGGAGGTTAAATAACCTGCCAACATTGTTGAGGAGGATCAGAATGGTAGCAAATTGGATGGTGGTAACCAGTTTGGAAATATACTAGGTAAGGTTCCAAGCTCTACTGAAAAGTATTATGCTATCTGAAGATCCCTACTTCAAATCTACTAATAAAAAGTTTTGGGTTTTCCATTGTTTGAAATCTATGACTGCTCCTCTCTCTGAGTAGTTATTCCCAGAAGTCACTATAATTGTTTCTTTTTGGTATATGTAGTACACGTATATATGTACATTAGGCAACAAAGGATGATAAACATTTAAGAATAGTCTTGACACTGGTCTTAGCAATGATTTTTTGGATTTGATACCAAAAGCACAGGCAAAAAAAAAGCAAAGACAAACAAATGGGACTACATCAAACTAAAAAGCTTCTGTACAGCAAACAATCAGCAAAATTAAAAGCAACCTATGGAATGGGAGAAAATAATTACAAACCATATATCTGACAGAAGTGAATATCCAAAATATGTCAGGAACTTATACAACTCAACAGCAAAAACCAAAATAATCTGATTAAAAGATAGGTAAAGGATCTGAACAGACATTTTTCTGAAGAAGACATACAAATGTCCAGAAGGCACGTAAGAAGGTGCTTGACATTGCTTATCACTAGGGAAATGCAAATCAAAACCACAATGAGATATCACCTCACACCTGTTGGGATGACAATCATCAAAAAGGCAAGAGATGACAAGTGTTGGATGTGGAGAAAAGGGAACCCTTGTACACTGTTGGCGGGGATGTAAACTGGCACAGCCATTATAGAACACAATATGGAGATTCCTCAGAAAATTACAAATAGAACTACTGTATGATCCAACAATCCCACTTCTGGGTATATACTCAAAGGAAATGAAATCCCTATCTCAGAGAGATATTTGCACTCCCATGTTCACTGCGGCATCATTCACAATAGTTAAGACATGGAAATAACTTAAGTGTCTGGTAATGGATGAATAAAGAGAATACAGAATATATATATTAATAGATGCACACACATATACCCACTTATAACGGATTACTCAGCCATAGCAAATTTGTCAATTATACCTCAAATAGAGCTGGGAAAAAAAAGTTTTTAAATCAATGCTTTCACATACAACAAAACTGTTATCATCTATTCACTTAATCAACAGGTTTACTATGTAGAGTGAGAAGAGGCTCTACCCAGAACCTTGAGGAATGCTGAGAGAAGAGTCAGTCAGAAGAGAAGCTCACAAGAATCCTGGGAAAGAATGGCTACAGAGATAGGAGAAAGTGAGGTCATAGAAATGAAATGAAGAGAGTGTTTTGGGAAAGGGAAAGCTAATTTAATTTAATAGACGTAAAGTTCCAATTCATTCAATTTTAAAACTGGGAAGAACAAAACATGATTCAACAAATAAAACAATAAAAATATGCTGCAGACCCACATTATGGTTCTTTACTCCAGATGATCTTGTTCCCTTTCAGGAAAACGAACAAACAAAAAACCTCAAGGCCAAAAAAGAAAAAATAAAAGGCTAACAGCATTCAGCCCCTGGTCCTCCAGAGCCTCACCTCTCTTAGGCCTATGCTTTTATGTATAAGTTCCAATTTCTTCTTAACAGTGATTCTCTAAATTTACCTCCTATGAAGTAGGTCCTCTAAAAAGCCTCATCTTTCATACCTGTGTTTCAATAAAGTGGCTTTGCGTATTTGACTTCCTTCTCCTGCTCTGCAATAACTCCCATGTAACCCCAACTCACTTTCCTTCACACTTTTGTAGTGTGCAGCTACAGGTTGAGCATCCCTAATCCAAAAATCTAAATGCTCCAAAATCTGAAACTTTTTGAGCATTAACATGACACCACAGTGGAAAATTCCATACTTGACCTCATGTGACGGATAGCACATATTATTAAAAGATTGTATAAAATTACCCTTGGGCTATGTATATAAGGTATGTAAGAAACATAAATAAATTTCATGCTTAGACTTGGGTCACATCCCCAAGATCTCATTATGTATATGCAAATATTCCAAAATCTGAAAAAAAAAAAAAATCCAAAATCTGAAACACTTCTCATCCTAAGCATTTCAGATAAGAGATACTCAACCTATGCAGGCACGCACAGGATATTAAAAGACGCATCCCATTCCAAGCTAGCACATTTCCACCAACAAGGAGTTCCAACTTGGAATAGCTGTGTCCCACTAGCAGAATGGCTGTCAAAGACAGAGTTGTCTCTTCGATATGCTTCAAATCACCTTAGGAAGTAGTTTTATCTCCAGCTACTACTGGCTACAGAATGAAGGGCGGGATCTCTCACTTAGGTAAGGATCTCTCACTTAGGATGTGAGGACCTATCTTTTGTATTACCCAGGCCATCCAAAAGTAAACAATTGAAATCTGTTGCTCTAAATAGGATAGAGTTCAAAAGATTGTTCTAGAAAGCTTCCCAGATACTCAAGGAGATCAAGGTGAGGGATGCTGTTTTCTACTTTAGTCCAGACAACATTACTAATTAGTGCAAAAATTAGTTTCTTGGGTACATCCAATATCAAACGATCTTTTGCTTAATCTAATCATTTCCTGCTTCCTGTTATTACCTCTTAGGTATCACAAGCTAAATATTCTTAAACATTCCCTTATGTCTTCTTACCCAGTCAATTTTGTTTTCAATAATAAGCAAAGATGCTCTATGTACTGGAATATCACAGAATGCCATGGGAGAAAAGAAGTTCTAGTCACAGAATAAAAATTAAAGGTCACCTATTTTTGTACTGCATTAAGTACTCATAAATCCATTACTTAAGGCCATCTAGAATGAGTAGATTCGTACTGTGGCTTTCAAGGTCTTTAAATTACACAGTTATCAATAAAGAACAAGAAGAGAATACAGAAGAGGTCTTATAACCTTTTCTCTCTCTTTATTTACCTATTGCAAAGTTGGTGGGAGGTGGAAACAAGTTCTGTTCTTGACAGTATTTCCCCACAGAGAATTAAGCCTGAGGTACTAACCAAAATTATTTCATTGTCTTTTTAAGTAATGGACTCATTAATTCTTATGGATATTGATTAGTACAGAAAAATACATTACATTCTAATTAATGAGACTGTCTTAGTAAAAGGGGAAATGTTGCATAAAGTTAATTTGATTTTATTAATGAAAATGGTTTTATATGAAGTTTGAGATAATCTAGTACATTAACAAAATTCAATATGGGAAGCAAGCCTGTTGGTAATGCTATATTATCTTGAAAAAATTAAAAGCTATTGGTAAAAAATAGGCAGAGGAAAGGATGGCTCTACTCTTTCCATTAAAAAAAAAATTCTACCTTAATGCAAAAGCTTAAAAATTAAACTATACTGTACTAAAATATTAAAATAAACTGAGGAACTTCATTCCTATGGGATATAGATCCCTGGAGGGTGGTAAAGACTGTGCAGTAATCTGGATCTTAGCATCCAGTCTATGGCTTGACTCTTCACACAGTAAATATTCCTTTCTATAACCTTGACTTTTTAGTTGCTCCTTCTTTAGGGATTATATTTGGGTGACACTATGTGTTTTCTAAAGCCATATTAAAATTTTAAGGGAATACCAGGTGCCATAAATCAACATAAAGTTAGCAGACACATATAGTACATAACTTACCTGGAGCCATAAACTGTTTAACGTTGGTGAATCTTGACTTCTCAGCCACACTAGCCATAAAGCAACCCTTAGGCACAGTCCAGTCATTAGGCTTGCTGTTTTTGTCCCTGTCTTCTGCTGTTTCATATACCTCTATGTGAGGAGGTTTCTCAGTTAGATTCTTGCTGTAATGACTTAACCCATACTGTGCAATCTGGATTGGGTAGAAATAGCCTTGAGGTCCCCATTGCGTAGATAATGGCACACCTACAAAACAGAGAAGCAAAGTGAATAATCATGTCCAGACATTTACAAGCCCATTCTGAATACACTCTTCATTGTTTTACTTCTGGTGAATGTTACAGGGTTACCAGGAACTTCTGAGCTTTCTTAATGTATTGCTTTCATAATTACAAGAGACTAATATCAAATTAACCAGATATGAAAAACAAAATTAAATATTTACTCATTCTCATTATTTGTTGACAGAGAGAAATGCAGTGTTATAAATTACTTTTAAAGGACTGCCTTTTGCTCACAGCTACAGATGGCATGTTTCGTAATCCTGCTTCATACATTCAAACTTTGTACAACTTAGAAGCACATAGATAACATCACCACAGTTTTATTTTAAATATTAATCCTGATACTTTCTTAAACATTTATACTTAACAATCAGGTTAACTACACACTCATTTCTCCCTCCAATGTCAAGGTGTGGTCTAATAACCTCAGTATATCATCTGACAGTTAAAGTATTTGCTTAAGAAGCCAGTTATGACTAGGTAACTTAAAATATAAACACAGCTTGAAATTCTTTTTCATATCCTTCCTGTCAAACTGTAATCTTTAAGAACAAGGAGTTTTTAAAAATGAATTAAAGTTGTATATTTAACCATAGTTTCTTGAAATAATTCATTAATGGATTATCTTCTGTAAGGTTCTAAGCACAACTTTTAAATGTTTGGTATTAGTGTTTATTTCAGTAATTTCCTACGTGGGAACTAATATACTACACTGCACACAGTACTGTACTGTTGAATCATGTACACGTTGAGAGAGAAACTTCTATCTGTAGTTCTAAAATAAATTAACAAGCATCTGATGGGCACAGTAGACACTGGGGATCTACAAAATTGTATGCGTTTTGATATAGTTTCAAACAATGTTTAAAGAATTAGGGACCATATAGGCTAAGAGACCTAGCCTACAGATAAGCTTTTTAACATCCATATCTTTTCTCTGCCAAACTCTTGATCTGTTTTGCCAAACTTCTTTCTAAAAAGGTGGAACCTATTTATGCTTCCAGTAGCAGAGTATGAGTTTCTCTTGTCACCCAACTCTTGCCGTCATGGAACATTGCTCTTTAAGCTGTTGTTTACAAAGGAATATCATCATTTTCTTTCTTAATAATTAGTGAGGTCAAATATCAAGGGGGGATTTCCCCCCTCTACAAACTCAAATAGAATTATTATCACTTAATAAAAGGTAGGTTTATATAATCTCATTAAAGATGGGTGACAACTATATAATGTTCAACTGGCATAAGAATTGAGACTGATCAATGAAACAGAATAGTAGGCCAGAAACATGCTCTAGTACTCATAAGAATTTAGTATAAAGACAGCATCATGAGTCAGTGGGGAAAAAGGGAGATTATTCAATACGTGTTGGAGGAAAAAAGTCTAAAATTAGACCCTGTCCTTGTACCATCTGCCAAAATATAAATCAATTTAACTGAACCGAAAAAGTTAAAGTAAAAAAATGAAACCATAAAACTATTAGAGAAAGTGAGAAGCTGATTATAATGTGGCAAATGTCTAAGCGTAAACCAAAGAAGTACAAAGCTCCAAAAGACCCCATAAATTTAGTAAATGGAACTAAAAACTTCCAAAACAAACCATTAGCAAAATTGAAAAGACAACCAAACTGAAAAAAATATTTTTAACAAATGTGAGTGTTGCTACCCTTAATATATAAGTAAGAGTTTGCACAAACATGTTTTAAAAAAACTCCAATAAAATTAGAAAAAGAGGGAAAGAATATAAAGGCATGGTTAAAAGCATATGAAAAAGATATTTGACCCCACTAGATATTCCTTTGTAAACAACAGATGAAAGTTCCATGATGGCAAGAGTTGAGCGACAAGAGAATCCTCATGCTGTGCTACTGAAAGCATGAATAGGTTCCACCTTTTTAGAGAGCAGTTTGGCAAGACAGATCAAGAGTTTGGCAGTTTATTTGACACAACAGCTAATTAAAATTAAAATAGCAAATGAAGATTAACAATGAGTATCTACAACATTATTTATAATAGCAGAAAAAATGAAAATGACCTAAGTGTCCAACAAAAAGAGAAGGGTCCCATATATTACATACGTATATCATGGCACATTCTTACCACAAATATCGGTCATTAAAATGTTCAACAAATATTCAATCGCAAGGGGAAATAATCATAATATGGTAGGTGAAAATAGTAGAATACAAAATCAGTATGATCTCAGTTTGTTTAAAAAATGTTTATCTACAACAAAAACAGAAAGATCAGAAAAAACACATCAAAATATTAACACTGTTTACAGGTGCTTTCTTTATCTTTAGAATCTAAGCACCCATTAATTTAAAAATTTTTTAAAGTCACTAAAAAAAAGTTATGGCCATGGATATCTTTGAAATTGCTAACAAACTATTTCCCTCCTGAATCACTTTATAAATAAATATCATTACAACTACATTAAAACATATATCCAGGAACAAAGACCTCTACAGCATATGCAAAAAATGATAATAATTATTTGAGGTAGTGAGAGTATAGGTGAATCTGACCCCTTTTCCTCTTCTAAACATTTGGTAAAGATATTATAAAACATCTACAGAGTCACCACATGAGCACAAACTTTTTTTCAAAGCAAAAATATATATTACTAGGTTAAAAGCTTGTTTCAACACAGATTTTAAAATATCAAGATATTAAAATCACTTTATAACAAAACAAGGAAAATAAAACACAAACTGAGTAATCTCAAAACACATTAAACTTTTTCCCCTACTTAAATGATGTACGTTAAAGTCAAATTCAATTTGGCTTTCTGGTTTGAAAAGCAAATTCCAAAGCATACTAATCATACCCATAAGGAACCTCCACTGCCTCAGGTTTGCCTGTCTGTTTGTTTGTCTATTTTTGGACAGGGCTAAATGACCAATGCCTCAGGTTTTAAAGACAATTAAAGCCAGTACGTAACAGATTATAGGGGTACAGCATAAGTTCAGAGAAAAAGTATCTATGAATTATCTTGTCCTGAGGACTTAAAACTTCCTTCCAGAGATGACACCTAGTTAGTCAGGTAACAAGATCACATTTGCATACTGATGGGGCCACTGGATGGTCTTTCCTTTTTCCATCTCCTCTCATAGGATAATAACTATACATTTTAATGTAAAATTTCTGAAGATGCTGTGCCTAGACCTTACTGGTGAGAATTTTAGATTCTGATGCAGGTTAATGGAATAATCATATTTGTTCAGGTATCATCTTGTTGCAGCCTTTAAATGACAAAATTTAGAAAGTTGCCCTAGGTTCATACTTACTCTGTTCCTCCCTACTAAGTCTGAGTGATGAAAGGTCTCTTGACAATAAGCTATCTGTACCTGCTGTATAACTAACATCTATACTTATTCCTTAACATAATCAGGCTTGAAAAACGCAAGTGAAGCAGAGAGATACCAACCTTCAACCCCACTTATGCACTTGACTCTGTCTCTGACTTCCACATTGTAGCCTTCAAAGGACATAAAGACACCGTCAGGATGATAAGGGGCTCTCTGTGCATAAACTTTGGAATAGCTATGAGAGAATTCAAACCGATCATAGCCATCATACTGAACCACCTTTCCGTAAACATCAAAATATTTCTCTACCCAAGTGAATGGAAGAAAGACTTCATTCCCCTCTCGTCTCCCTTTAATTGTGTGTTCATCATTTATGAGACAGTCAATTTCTTCATATTTGAGCCCTAACACCTTGCTTCCCCCAACAACAGGGGGTGCTTTCTGCTGTTCCTGAGGGAATGCCTCCTCAGACTGTTGTTTGGCCATGTGGTTCACATAGTTGTTACTCTCAGACGCTGCTGGTCTTTTTTCTAATCCATCCACTCTGAAGCCACTACTCAAGTGCCGTGGAAATTGGATCGCTTTGTCACTGGAACACTTATTCCACAAAAGTACTGTGACCAGAGTGAAGAGTGCGCAGATGATAATCAAAGTCTTATAGTTGACCCGAGCTGCCAAGCAACGCATATTCAGATCATACCTATGGAGGCAAGAAGAAAAATTCATACGAAGATGTACCATTGATATTTCATAGGATAGAGTTTTATTTTTTAAATGTTGAACATTAGGACAATTTTATTAATTGCATGTAATCTGATCAGATTTAAAATTACTAACTCAAACTTTTTAGCACAAAGCAAAGGTAAGAGGTGCTCCCCTTTTTTAATACAATGCTCAATTAACATAATCAGAGTATAAAGCATAGATGCCCAAATTTTCTTAGTTTGTGGCTCCCTTGGTAATTTTTCACAATGCCCTCTAGGCCAAAAGAAATAACTAATACAGAATATCCCTTCTCTGAAATGCTTGGGACCAGAAGTGTCTCAGATTTTAGATTTTTTCAGATTTTGGAATATTTGCATTATATTTAACATTCAGCACCTCAAATCTGAAAATTTGAAATCTGAAATGCTACAATGAGCATTTCCTTTGAATATCATGTTGGCACTCAAAACATTTTGGATTTTGAAGCATTTTGGATTTCAGATTTTTGGATTTGGGATACTCAACCTGTAGTTCCATTTATTAAGTAGTTAGGGCTAAACAACTTAAGTATTTATGCCCTAACACCTCAGTAGCTTTCTGAAAAACAACAGATTTTTTCAAGAAAAACATTGACATCCATGTTGCCAAATCCAACAGTGAATTTTTAGTGCTTATCCTAATTGACCAAAGCAGAGTAAAATAGGCAATGACTCTTTCCTTCCTGAAACATTTCCTTCCCATGGTTTCTAGGGCACCATGCTCTTGGTTCTCTCTATATTCCACTGGCTTGGTTCTTCCTCAGCCTTATTTCTTGTGTCCCTGATTCTTAAATGTTGGAGTGCCTTAGGATCCTAGTTCTCAGACCTCTTCTTTATCTCTATTCGCTCCTGAATCATCACATCCAATCTCATGCCTTTAAATATGAGATATATGTATGCTATCTCCAAATTCTATTTCCAGGCCATATCTTTCTTCTGACTGCAGATACATATACTCAAGTAATTGACATCTTTACTTGGAGGTCAAAAAGAATTCTGAAATAACATCAAAAATTTAATTTCTAATCTTTCCCTTAAACCTGTTCCTCCCTTCCTATTGTTCATACTAAAAATCTTGACTCCTCTTCTCTTGCTCATCTCCCATCCAATCAGTCAGGAAATCCTGGCTCTACCTTCAAATTATACCCAGAAGCTGACCTCTTTTCAACAACTCCACTGTTACGACCATGTCAGAACCACTGTCATGTTTCACCTGGAACAGGGCAATGATATCCAAACTGGTCTCTCTGCTTCTACCAGTGGCCTACTATTCCACTTCCAAGTCTCTTCTCAACATAGCAGTCAGAATGATACTCCTGAATTTAAGCCAGATCATGTCATTCTAGTTCTGATAAGAAAACTTAGTGCTTGTTGCCCCTGTTTGCCATAAACTTTGGAAGGTGTATCTGCCAGTTGTGAACACAGCGCATGTAGTCCTGGGTCACCTGTTGCTGGGATTATTGGGAAACATGGGAAATTATGGATTAGTCTTATGTACAATGTATAAAATATTTCAGCCTGCTGAGAGTAAAGGGAGTAGTCTAATTGCTGTTTGTCCCAGTAGCTCTGTAATTTTTTGTATGGTGTGAATACACAACTACTTTTTGTCTTTGTTTGTAACCCCCTTTCTCTTTTTCCCCTCAATAATCCTTTTGGCAGCAATGAGATTAAAAAGATTTTTAAAAAACCCGAGTGAAAATGTGTAATGAAAAATTAAATGCTGAATTTTTATTTCTCAAGAAAGTTGATGGTGAATGTGTAATTCACGCATTTCTTTTAATTCCAAGGGAAAGTAAACTTTGAGTCCTTCAATGTCTGAAAACAACTGTATTCCGCTTTCACCCTTGATTAATAGTTTGGCAGTATGTAGAATCCTTGGTTGCATAATATTATCTTTCTAAATGTCATAAGCAATATTGTCTTAAAGCATTAAGGGTTATTTACGAGAGGTTTGCTTTCAGTCTGATACTTGTTACAATGTGTGTGACTTCCTTCTGGTTCCTTTTTATCCTAGGAATTCTGTAGTTTTGAGAGCATATGTCATGGCATGATGTCTGATTCTCTATTTCAGCACTTGGTATGCCTTTTCAATCTGAAAAGTTGTGTCTTCCTATTCTTGTTTAATGGATATAGTATCTTCTTGGATTTCTGAGTATATCAGATTTGTTTATTTTTTTTGTAAAGTTTCTCTGATTAGTTCTATTTTCTCTACTGGTAATTTTTCTGGTTATTGATTTAGTCTTTTCATTAGTTTTCCTCACATGCCTGGTGATCTTTGGTTACCTCTGTTATGGTGAAGATGCTCTGATTTTGGCTAGATTGCTCTTTTGAAGGAGATAAAACAGGGAGCTCTGTGTGAGCTGGGCACAAGCTGACTGGCAGTATTCCTTTAGGGTGAGTGGGTGGGGAGCCAGCAGACTTTCTAAATGCTAGAATGAAGACGGCTTCTTCTCTTTTGTTCTGGGAACATAACACATAAGTTAGAAGACTTAGATTTTCCCAATTTTTCTAAAGAAAATCTACATGGTGTTTTGCCTAGGATTCTTGCCAGCTATCTATAGGCCAAGAGCAGGGTTCAAAGAGGTACGGGGAGGTGAGGAAAGGGTACAGTTGGGCCTTCTGGTACACAAACAGGGGTCTAGAAATCTGTTCAACTATCATCCTTTGCTAGTCCTCCTATTTACTGTTACTGGTTTCTTCATTTCTCATTTCTATATATTTTTCTTTCAGGGGGCATCAGGAGGGCAAAGATTTGGGTTTGGTTTATCTTGAAAACTGTACACAGATTTTAAGAGTTAGAAACCCAATAATACCATTTTATCATCTGCATTATTACTATGAGAAAATGTGTTGAATGCTAAAACACCAAAGTGTGGTACAAGCAAACCTTCAGAAGTCATATTTTTATAAATTGATGATTTCCTTATATTGTAGTAGAGGTAAACTGATAACACTTAACGGTACTTATTTTTAAAAAATCCTTCATTAAAAATACTTATGTATCGACATCTGAATAATCTGTCAGTTATGCCTAACATTTTGACCAATCAAAATAGAAAATAAGGCCAGGCATGGTGGCTCATGCCTGTAATCCCAGCACTTTGGGAGGCTGAGGCAGGAGGATAGCTTGAGGCCAGGAGTTCAAGATCGGCTTGGGCTATATAGCGAGATCCTGCCTCTGAAAAAATAAAATAAAATTTAACTGGGCATGGTGGTGTGCGTTTGTAGTCCTAGCTACTCAGGAAGCGGAGGCAGGAGGATCACTTGAGCCCAGGAGTTTGAGGTTACAGTGGGCTATGATTGCATCATTGTACTCCAGTCTGGGCAACAGAGCAAGACTCTGTATCTAAAAAGAAAAAAAATTAACTCATTAAAAAATTAAAATATAAGAAGGTAAAAAATAAAAAATAAAGCTTTTTGTCTTATATTTGAGAAATGTCCTTCCTCCACTACTCAAACGAGAGTAAGCTTGCTTATAGAACAAGGCTACCATTATGAGGCATATGATAAGAAAATAGAGAAAAATCAAAATAAAAGCTTTCAATAATCCCTGTTCCCAGATTTTGTTATCTGATACCATTCCTTACTAATAGCAATCAGGGCTTCTTAGAGAAATGCATTTCCACGTCTGGGGCTGGGATATCTTGCCATGCCAGAAAACAAAGAACCTTTCAAATATCAATGGGATCATAATTTAGGGAGTCAAAAAAGCAGTAGGAAATAGATAAAATTGGAAAAATACTAATAACTGCTAAAGCTGAGAAATACAGGTACACTGGGAGTTCATGATACTATCTTCTATAGTTTTATGTCTAAACATTTCCATAATTAAAAATATAGTGTCATAGCAAAAAGACATAGGAATCAGCCTGGAATGCCTCCTTCCCTATTAGTCAAAGTTGTAAAAACTATGACGAAGTTGACTGAGACCCACTGAATCAATAAAAATACACGAATCTACAATGATATTCAAAAAGGAGAAACCAGGAAAAAAAAATCTCACATATTCTGAGCTAGTGAAAATTGGTAACTAAATCGGTAAATAAATTTATCTTGCTTTTGCAGGAGCAACATTGTATTTCAGAATACAGCTCCATCAGTCAATAAAGTACTCTGTTTTACAGAAGGCCATCTAATAATATAGAAGAAATAAATAAAAATCAGAAAATTAGCATTATGACATCCCTCTTGAAACTATCGGTTCAGGTAAGTATTACATTCAGGTAAATGTTAGTCATGACCCAGAGATTCATATTGTGCAAAGTAACACCAAACACATAATTTTCTATTTGAAAGGAGAAAAAGACAACATTCTACAGTGAAGGGAGCAGATAGTCAACTTCAGGCTCATTAATGGTCACTCATCTAGAAACTGTGTCTCCTGGCAAGTTGTAACAAAAAAATATTAATACATAACTTATCATATATTCCAGCCAAAAATGTTTAACTTGGATCTCACAGGCCTTAAGATTTGACTTCTAGTTAACAGGAAATACAAGGGATAGAGGAACAAGTTAAATCAGGAAGCAACCAGACACCTCCAAAAGGTAAGATATCCTGTGGGATAGTTGGTCTTACCGCCTCAATTAAATTAGTGACATGAAAAGAAAAAGGAGAAAAGAAGATTGAGTTCTGGGTTCTATTTTTTTTGTTTCTTTCTTTTAAGAGACTTAGGAATATAATGACCAGATGTGAAACTTGGTCCTAGACTGGGAAATTTGATGTTGGATTTGATAAGGAAAAATACTGACATGAAGATTGTTAACTGAAAAAAAGAGGTTACGAAACACCACATTTAAGAAGATCTCACTGTAGTAAATAATGCATATATAGGTCTTTATTTTCCAATTTTCCACGATCACATTTACTGGTTTCTCTAACCATAAAAATGGAAAATTAAGAAGGGCAAAGTCAATTTTGTTAAAATATTGAAAGAGAGAAATGTAAGCTTTAAGTT